CTCCCCCCCCCCTCTACTTAATCAGCCAGTTAAAATGAGAAATAAGTAAAGGTTTCTTACAAATTGTATACTACTGCTAGATTATAAGTATCATTTAATATTTATTTATTTATATATAGTGAATGGCTTCGGGCTTCACAGAGGAGAGGAACAGAAGAGTGATTTACAGTTATAAAAAAGACAGAGAGACACAAATTAGAGCGATAAAGGTAAGGTGAGTGCTCTGGAAGTGGTCGAATAAGACATGCATAATAGTTTGAAGTCAGAAGTCAATTGACGGTTTATAACGGGATTTACCGGTTTTAATAACATCGTGACCCCTTAAACCTGTGTAACGGAATTGTTTAAATAATTTATTGGACCATTTGTATTTGGCCAACCGGAACTAAAAAGCCCACAATAAGGCAGGTGATGTAGGAACCTAACAATAAATAAAAGTTTCGGCATTCAAAATTACCTACACAGTAGTTACTCAAAATGCAGGCATGAGTAAACAAACGTTGCACTCGTTTCACTCCAGAATCCCTCAATGCTCATTCCCAATATAAGGTTTCATATTCACCCAATGATCTACGTTTTCCTCGACATACCTGAAGAACCAATTACCTCAACCTAATCGACTCATATTCGCAGTGTTCTGAGGTCACTCTCATAAAGACTCATTCAACAAATAGCATCATGGGCAGTCTGGACAATCAATTGATTCGAGGCCAACTCAATGCTCAAGTGTTTAGACCAATAACTTCCATCCGAACATACTGTGTAATAAGAGCAAATTTTGACCACGGATGCTTCGATTGATTTAATGTCTATAATTATTTCATATTCGTAATAATGAACTTATTTGAAGACTCTCAGAGATGTATACTAATCAAGAATAATGATCAAATTTGAATTAAAGTTTCTGAAAGTGGAATGGGTTTTTTTACCAAGACAAACAGTTCAAGAGAGAATTGCAACGCGATGCCACAATGTAAAAGTGCGAATTTGCAGTTATAGAATGAAATTAATTTAATGCATTGAAATAAAGGTACGTAATGCTGAAATATAAAATTTTGCAGTTTTATATAATGCCTTCGTTAAAACTAAGGCAAAATTTTGAAGGCTAGTCCAAGTTGTGAATGTTCAAGATAAGTATGCAGAGTTAATAAATCGTGTCTATGTCTTGAATTCAATTGAATAAATATAAATTCGTAAATTATATACTTTTAATGTTTACTTGTCGCAATTCATTTCACTTTATAAAATGGTGTTTATAAAGCTTAATTCAATGTATTGGTGGCCTTGGCTGTATACAAGGGACCTTTTAACTACCCGATACCTCGGAAATTGTAAATCGGAGTTGAGGATCTTGCAGATTCTAATTTGAGCATTAGCATTTGACAATTTTTGAAGCAAATAAGAAATCTCTAGTTGCATTTGACCTACGTCATATAATACCTTGAGTTTTTTGCGTTTCTGCGCGTATGCATTCATTTATATGTAAGAATGGCCCAACATAAATGGTTTTTTTATTTTTGTGGGCATATATGGTATTCTGTGTCTCGATCCAAAAGGTATATTAATTACTATTCCTGGTATTTTATTGCTTGTAAGTTCGAAGTTACTAATAATTGAGAATGATCGAAGACAAATCGGCTAATGATAAACATGGCAAATTCTACTTTGGACATTTACATTTGAACTCTTCCTATTTGTCGCGAACTCTTAACTCAGATTCCTTTATATCTTCACATGTGTCCACATTTATATGTTAATACGACCGAATATGTTTTAATTCGACTAATTTTATAGATTCCTATGAGGTGCTTTCTTGCATCCGTTCAAGTAATTTGAGTCCATTTCCGAATTTATATATATTTTATTGCCTGCCTTACTTTTCTTTATTGTAAATTTTAATTTCCAATTGATCTGTTTTAGAGACTCAGTTTACAATTTTAATTTCAATATATTAATAAAAAATACATTAACCACGTGGTGCAGCCTGAGCAACGCATACTCATACGACAAAAGTCTATAATCCGGCAGTTCACTTCGAAATACTACGACCTGACTCAATGTCATATTCGACCACTTTCACAGCACTCATCTTAACCCCTTCTCTGCTTCTTTTACATCCGTTAATCAGTATTCCGCCCCATCGACATTTTGTCAACTAAAAGGGCTAACGTTAACTATCAAAACGCCCGTCATTTTAAATAAATCTAGGAAAGAGGGAAAACCTCACACGGCCTTCAGAGTGAAGAACATGAATTTTGCCACCCTCTTTATTATCCAGACTTAACCACTGCCATTTGATATAAATAAAGTTTACATTGCCCACAGTATCAACAATTCCTGCCACAAAGATTAATAAATACATCCTTGTTACAAATGATTCTTTTACTTATTGCAAAATATTTAATGTCTTGCATATAAAGGCAAGGCATAAAATTTGTCCAATTAACAACGTAATTACCAATTACGGCATATGGCAACCTTGCGAAAAAAAACCATATAACGATTCCACACACGTCAAAATTAAAAAGAGGATATTCAGTCAAAGATTACACAATAAAACCAAGGAGTAACACAGGTGTCATTTCACATTCTTCGCGTGCAGTTGTTTAAAGCATCTCCGAATATTTGCCTAAAGAGTTGGAGGACGTGCAATCAGGTTCGTCACCGAAGTGTACTTTGGAAGTGACTAGGAGAAAAAGCGAAATTTAAAAATTATTTAATAAACGGCGGCTATTGAATTAAAGCAAATATATTAAAACACACCAACGCGCTGTGCTTGCTCAATACTAACTGCATCTAAAGTGAGAATTCGAAACATTAGAAATACCAATTTTACCAAATCAAATTATCGAAGAAAAAGACTACCTGTGTACATGAAAAATCGTCTAACTTACTGAAATTCACCACTTACTCTAGTCGCTAAGACTTGAATTGCTGTAAAAGGTTACTGCAATTTACTCACCTTACCCTTTTCTCCACCTTTACGTACGTCTCCCTCACACTCTTCTTCTCGTCCCCCCCCCCTCCCCACTTTTGTGATTTTGATGTTTCTCACCTTTTGTGAAGCCCGAAGTCAGCTGAAGGGCTAATGATAACCATCTAAAAGCCTACCATTTGATATAAATAAATCTTACATTTCAGGGGTTTTGAAAGCGGAACCTCAAAATCCATGTAAAGGTAAATAATAATAAAATGTTTTCCACCATTCAAGCCAGTAAGTTAGAAGATTATCAAATCGTCCAAGTGGTTGTTTTCTTTAATTCGATTTACCAATTTGACTGAATGCAATCGGTGTTTGTAAAGCTTTAAGTACTCACTTTAGATGCAGATGTTTTATTGTTCTCCATATTACTTTGAAAATATCCTTCGGTGACGAACCCGATGATAAGTTCTCCAATCATCGAGGGAAATGTCTTAAAACACTTGAAATTGTATGTAGTATTTTGAATTATGTGGTTGTGCTACTCATTTTCTTACTTGAGTAATCATTTTGACTGAATTTCTACTTTGAATATTTGAAAAAGTGTTGTAGCGGACTTCTACACTAGTAAAGCTGATTGGGTCGAAGAGTGTTCCAACCGCGGTCACCGCTGCAGCCGGAGGCTCCAGATATGCCGGTTTCAATCGGTCTATACTGATGGCATTGCTATCGAGGATAAAGGCCCGTTTTACGGCGGGGTTTATCGCCCCATCCACGGGAAAATAAACGAGGGAGGATGTAGATAAGTCCTTAGGAATGTGTGGGCTTGTCATTCAAACGAGTGGGTGTTGGACGAACGGATCTGAAATGGTGTTTAAGGCGGGCGGAATACGAGAATGGGTCTATGCAGGGTCTGTCTTGGGCGTTGAAAATCATCTCTCCAGGAATCCTTAGAGTTGTGCCTAGTACGAGTTTTGCCGGACAGTTTCCAAGATCTTCCTCCACAGTATTTCTAATTGAGAAAAGAATGATAGGAAGACGCTCTGCTCAATCTAATCTGAAGGAAGTTACGATGGTTGCCGATTTAAGCTGCCGGTGAAAACGTTCGACGAGGCCATTGGCTTCCGGATGATAAGCGGTGGTGCGAATATGCGTCGTCAATATATGTAAATACGAAATTCAACCCACGGAAAACTTGGTCCATAAACCGCTGGAATGATTGGGCCGCGTTGCGTAAACCAAAAGGCATGCGTAGGAATTCGAACAAACCGAATGGTGTGACAACGGCCGTCTTAGTGACGTCGTCTGGGGCCATGGGAATCTGGTAATAGGCCATGTAATTACAGTGAAAAATCGTGGATACGGGGTATTGGATAATGATCTGAGATGGCAATCTCCGCATGGTCTCCAGTCTCGTACAAATGACTGCTTGAAGGGCGAATGATGCCTAAGGTTACCATGTGCTGAAATTCCTGTCTAGCCGCAGGTAGTTTTTTGGGGTGTAGGCGCTGAGCCCTAGCAAAAACTGGTTGCCCTTCGGAATTTATATGATGCCGAACAGTGTGCTTAGCTCCAAGACCTCCGATTGAACGCGGAAGATGGAGGGAAATTCAGACAAGATGCTGGCGAAGAGGTGATCTACAGGGACGAGGACATTAAAACCTGAAAGAGTCTAAGGCCTCTGTAGAGCCGACCACCTCCAGGGAGGTGACGTTGTCCTGAAGGGCGCTGTCTCTGAGGTTGACTAACAATTGGAACTCAGAGGAAGTCAGCACCAATAATAGCCTTTCGGACGTCTGCCAACAGGAAAATAAATGGGAACTCCCGACGCAGTCCCAGATCCGGGTTGAGGAACTTTTGTCCGTAGATAGGGATTTGTGGCTGCCAGAAGGGAAGTCCCGGTGGCTTGTGGGCGGTGTTTTACTGCGCAGCGAGGAATAACGCTGACTTCGAACCCAGTGTCCACAAAGAACTTGAGTTGGGAATTTATTCCTGTGATATATAGTAAGCGACAGCCTTTACTGCCTGGAGTGATATATTTTCAAAACGCACTGCGTTGCTTGCCTATGCGTTATTGACATCAAGGGGTGCGGTGGTAATAACACATCGCCGCTCCGTTTCTCCACGAACTCTGGCGTCTCCTAGGTGAGAAAGAACGTCGCTTGCTGCGGTGGGGAGGGGAAGCCAAAATGCGAGATTTCAGCTCCTGGAATGGCTCAGTGAGGTCGTCCAATCGCTGTGTTACGGTATCCGCTGCGACTGAAGTTTTACTGCATGGACGCTAGGCCTACCGCGAATCCCGATGGTCGACCATAGAGCGCGTGTGGTGTAGGAGTTGAAACGATGTTCTATCACCAAGCTTGACTTCCGTGAAAAGGCTTTCTTGAGGAGCAGAAAGATGGCCGAGGATTGCTTGTTTGAGCCGTCATACGAGTTGCTGTCACCAAGTTCTGGAGTGGTTGGAGGATGTCATTCGGCAAAGCTACTGTCAAGTAAACAAACCAGTTTGTTCGTTTCGAGATGACCTTTATTTTGAGCACATTCACGAACCAAACGAACCAGATTTCTGCGCATCCTGGGTTAAATCACAATAGATGAATCAGAGTCAGCTTCTTTGGACACGATGTGGGACGGTGGTGTGTGGGAGGAGAATAGGAGTCAACACGAATGGAGAGTCGGAGCGTCGATAGGTGATCGTTTTTGTAGGAACACCGAGAGCATTGGGTGATACAAAGAACAAATTGCAATACAAGTGAGAAGTCAGGCTTTGGCAATAACGTCACGGTCAACAATTTGTAGCGGATTGCTACACTAGTAAAACCTGACTGACTCAGAAATCTCTGTGGGAGATTCTCCTACATCTATCTAGACTCCCAGAACTAGCCAAGCTACAGCCCAGCTATAGAGAAAACAAACGTATCGCACGAACCACGTTTAATCGGGAAGTATATCGTGGATGAAGAGCACAGGCAGGGAGCTTAGTCAAAATCAGCATGGTGGATTAGTTTGAATAATCAGAAGCCTGTGATTGGCCACTTTTTGGCACGGTTGTCTACACACGGAGTTGTACGTCCGCACCTCCCAATCCTGGCGTGCGTGCAAGCGCAATTTTTTTCCTGCGTATTGAATGAAATCGAGAATATACTGTTTTAATGTCTTCATTGTCAGGTTGAACTGCTCAGTCACCAACGCCTTTAATCAATTAATTTTATACCTCGCTTTATACTTAATAAATAAATATTTTGTAATAAATAAAAAGAGGAATTTATAACAAGAGTGTATTTATGAAGTATTATGGCGGAAAGAGGTAGTATATTAGTCGTTATTCCACTTACTGTGACATCTTTTGACTAATGGAAAGTTGGTTGGATTATATTAATCGATGCTAGTGTAGTTTTATCTAAAGGTAGTTCATTGACGAGTTCATTATGCAACTTCTTGAAATGAGTCGATTTTAATTAAGGTGACAATTACATACAATGGGGGAGAAAGTGACACAAATCTGACTGGTTCTCATTATTTCTCTGCAGTTTGGAATGGTGAAATTTCATCTCAATTCTAATCTTTTACCCCAAACAGCATAGGTGATTGTGAGGTAATGAAATAAAAGTCTTTCCTGAGTACCCACCAAACAAGGTTTGTTCTCCAAACCTTTGACGTGGGTCCAACTTCAAATGAATTTAAAAAAATACCAATAAAATTTTCTCAATAAGTTATGTATATTGTTTTGTAGACTTGTAGCGGATTGCTCCCTAAGTCTCGAACATGTAGCGGATTGCTACCTTCGTAAAGCCTTGGTTAAAGACTTGTAGCGGATTGCTACCTTAGTAAAGCCAGACCGGTTGAGAATTGTAACGGATTGCTACCTTAGTAAAGCCTGACCGGATTGCATTGTAGCGGATTGCTACGCTAGTAAAGCCTGACCGAAATCTCTATGGCAGATTCTCCAACACCTAGCTAGACTCCCAGAACAGCTAAGCTATAGCTCCACGGATTGCTACGCTAGTAAAGCCTGACTGACTCAGAAATATTGCTACTCTAGTAAAGCCTGACTAACTCAGAAATCTCTGGCTACGCTAGTAAAGCCTGACTGACTCAGAAATCTCAATGGGAGATCCTCCTACATCTAGCTAGACTCCCAGAACCAGCTAAACACCTTAGTAAAGCCTGACTGACTCAGAAATCTCGATGGCAAGATTTCCAACATCTAGCTAGACTCCCAGAACAAGCTAAGCTATAGCCTAGCTATAAGGGAAACTCATCTAGCTAGACTCCCAGAACCAACTAAGCTATAGCCCACATCTAGCTAGACTCCCAGAACCAGCTAAGCTATACCCCAGCTACGCTAGACTCCCAGAATAAGCTAAGCTATAGCCCAGCTATAGGCTGACTCCCAGAACCAGCTAAGCTATAGCCCAGCTATGAAAGACTCCCAGAACCAGCTAAGCTATAGCCCAGCTATGAAAGGATCTCCCAGAACCAGCTAAGCTATAGCCCAGCTATAAAGAAATCAAGTCTCTATGGCAGATTCTCCAACATCTAGCTAGACTCCCGAGAAATCTCTGGCAGATTCTCCTACATCTAGCTAGACTCCCGAACTAGCTAAGCTATAGCCCAGCTATAAAGAAAACAGACGTATAATTCAGCTAAGCTATAGCCCAGCTATAAAGGAAACAGACGTGTTGCTATAGCCCAGCTATAAAGGAAACAGACGTGTAGCACGGGGCGCCCAGCTATAAAGGAAACAGACGTGTAGCACGGAGTACGCAAAGGAAACAGACGTGTAGCACGGAGCACGCCAGCTATGAAGGAAACAGACGTTTAGCACGGAGCACGTTTGTTCAGTAGACTAAACACGCAAGAAGTGTATACAGGAAGGAAACTCAGTCATACAAAATGGCGGATTTGGTACAACAAGTGAGGGCACTGAGCTGCTATTGGCTGCGTGCTCTTGTCCTCAATCCGTACGCGAAGTTGTACGGCCGCACCTCAACCCTATGTGTACGCGCATGCGATGACGTTCCCACAAACTCACATTATTTTGTCATATGATAGAGATCAATACTTTCTTTAGAACCCGCTAATGACATACACCTCAACGACACGTGAGTTATTAGACAAAACTGCAGTGGTCTTTTAATACAGATCAATGTTCCGAAAGAGATTTAGCTGCCTTCCTTGTTAGAGTGATGGGGTGCGCGATAGACTTACCTCCACG